AAAAAAAAAATTTGGGAAAAAATTTGGTAAAAAAAAAAAAAAAAAAAACTAAATATAAGACTGTCTTCAACATATTTTGGTTAAACGAAACATTTATGGATCACAAATTAACTTTTAGATATATTACTTATCCAGGTTCATCCTTACCGATTTTTTTACGAGAACTTTCTCACACTCTCTGCTTTGTGATTGCGTCAAAATCTCTTGTAATCTATGCAAGTCGTTAACTATTTTTTCCAAATGTATTTTTGAAAAATTTTGGAATGCGTTTATGTGTTTGGTGCTTTCTGCAATAGCTTCTTGGATTTGTAGATTTACAGCGTTTAGTTCCTGAGCTTCTTTATCCATGCGTTCTACAGCTATCTCGATGTTTTCTTCGAGAGATTTTAATTTTGATCTAAAAAATACATGTACTGAAATACCTGATTAAAGATAAATTTATAAAATTCATATACTCGATAACTTTATTTTCGTCTTCTATTTTTAATTGTTCATCATCAATTTCTGGATTTATTGTCTCATCATCATTTTGATATGGACTTTTTAARCTTTCCATCTAAATAAAAAAATAAAACCCATCGTATTTATCTATCACTCAATAGGATACATGTTATTTAATAATATTAATTATTATAATGCATAAAAATATGTGACACATTTATGTTCGGCGTATCCCTCCAGTGTAATATTTGAAATGATCATTTCAAAATCGTTTTAACTTATAGAACAATATTTTAATTAGTCAAGATTCAATAAGAAAATGTATTAAAATATTATTTTGAATGAAGAAATTTATCAAAGTTATCAATGATAATTATTGATAAGACGTAATGTGAAATAACAATATGTTCAAATAAAAATTATGCTATGATGTGATATACTGTAATTAGATAAAAACATTAATTTGCTAAACCGCTAAGCCGCTAAGGTATCATTGCATCCATAGTAGTTGTATATTTTACATCGTTAAATTGTAAGTTTAATATATATTTTAGATAATTTAGTAAATATAATACAAAGATCTCACAAGAGTGGAGAAAAAACAAAAGTCCAACAATAATTAAAAATTAAAACAAACAAAATTTATGCTCATTATATAAATTAAAAAATYAAAAACAGAATATTTACCCTAAGTGCATAGTTTTTACTTTTTATTAATAAGTTAAATAAAAAATGATATTTTTTAGGTTTATACTTATTGGCTAATATAGATCAATGATAATCGATTATYGTAGAAGATTACGACGATTAAGATGATAAGACTTCTCGTAAATTTAATAAATATTTGTATATAATATAATACCTAGTATAGATGTATCTCATAGGCGTGCGCAGACTTCTGAGTCAGGTATGGCTAAATTCAA